ACCTGAACCCTTAAAGCAGAACCTGAACCCCACAAAGTCCCAGGAGCTCAGACTCACAGGAATTGGCCTCCCTGGGAGAAGCCCATGGCGTTGTAGCCTCCCTTGAGCCGAGGATCGGCGGCGAGCTGGCTGCACACCTCCCTCACCTGATCGTTGACGTTCATGAAGAAGCTGTTCTCCATATCCTGAGGGATCAGAGAGCATGGAGCATTTTGCACCTTTGCYRTGGTTGGTKTTATTTTAAACTCTGCAAACAGATYGCTGACATTTGKGGTTTGGAAAGAGGACCTGAGCTGTCACAGGGACAGAAGTGAGRCTTCCCTTTAGCAGGTCTTGGTTCCTGCTTGGGCTGGCAAAACTGTCTGCATTTCCCCAAATTTCTTCACAATTTGAATCTTTTCATATTTTATTCATATATATATCCATAAAAATTAAAAATCCAACTTCTCCAGCACCCAGGAAACKACACGCACTGCACATTATCCTGAGAAATTAGTTAAAGAAATTCCACAGGATTACAACAAACTGCTAAATCCCATGAAGGCGCAGAAGTGTGTAATTTATTATGCAATTTATTGTGTATAATAAGTGTGTAATTTATTATATATTGCAAATCAAGAAGCGTGGCCAGGGACAAAGCTCTGCCTCAGCACAGCACCAACCCCACGTATTACCTGGAGCAGTTAGAGTGTGCTAATCAGTGGATTTGCATATTAATCCCATTTCCATCAGGGATTTGCTCTTCCCCAGGTATTAGCTGGACTTTATCGGGTTCTACCTGTCAAAGCTGTTTATCTCCCAGGGAAAGCRCAGCAGGAATCTTTGTGGGATCCTGTTAACGCCAGGAAATGCCGCGGTTCCAGCCCCACCCTCCGCAGGCAGAAACGCGAGTGACACGAGGMTTACCTGGATCAGGTTGCTGCCAATCTTGAGCGACAGGACGTAAATGCCCGGGATTTTTTTCTCCACGAGTTTTTGGATGAAGCCCATGCTTACCGGATTGCAGCAGCTGTCTCCTGTGAGAGGGGACACCGGGATTTACCGGCACGGCCCGGGCGCTCAGAGAACCTCCACAAACACACGGGACCGGGAGCTGCGGGCGGAGGAGGGGCAGAA